CGCAGGATAGAGCAGGGTTTAGGGCTGTTGTGCATAGGGTCGCTATGAGTCGGAAACGACTCGACGGCACATAACAACAACAACAAACAGGGCAGCAAAAGCAAATGGGACCAGATTTTTGTAGATGTGGAGTTTCAGAAGTTTGCAAATACTTGTCATTAACTATCTTCATCTTGACATTAAATGTCAACTTTATAGATACCTAAAATGTGTAAGGTTTATTTCTGCTGGTAGGCTTACGGCGCAAGGTGCTCTTCTCTGAGAAAAAAAGTCTGTTTACCTATCAAGTTTCAACTATACTTTGGTACATTTTAAAAGCAAAGAGGAAGATATAAAGAAAATTTAAGAGTGCAGACTTTACTGTGAGTTTGAAAAGAGGTGGTAATGAGAGTTACAGTCATTATAGTATATCTTAAATATTATTAATAATCCATTTTAATATCTAATTTAAAATATTATTTAGATAATTCACAAGATCATAGGTACATTATTATTGTTGTTGTTTATCATGAAGCCTGAACTGACAATAGCTGACCCATTGTAGGGCTTTCAGAGGCTGTTTAATCGCATGGGAGGAGACTGCCCATCCTTCTCCTGTAGATCAGCTGGCGGTTTTGAACCTAGTGCCTTCACGACTGCAGCACAGCTTCTTATTGCTAGGTCACCAGAACTCCCTACATTATTAGTACATTCATTATTAGTAACAACTACTATTTTAAACACATATTTCCGATTTTCTTTGCTTGTGAATGCTAGGTTTATACCATTTTGCTTTCATGAAAAAACAGTATTAGTGTTTGTTTTCATTAACCCATGAAATCCAAACAAGATTTTCATTTTTACAAAGAAGGCAAAACATGAAACTAGGTCCACTATGTTTCACAGCAAGCCTTTAAAAAGGTGGTGTGCACCTCAAGTGTCAAGAGTGGTACTGCCAGGCCATGTCCCTGGTAACCACATCAGAATCTCAGCACTAAGTCATTGTACCTCTGAACTGTCAGTGAGTACTTGTGTTTTCTCTCGACTTACTTGGTACCCCCAATAGCAAGATGTGTTTACCACCTCTCAGCCTTCAAGTTTGGTCAACACCTTTCTAATTCTGTACATAGATTATTTCTACTTTACAGAGGATGTGTGTTTTATATATAACTTCTGCTTTTATTATACATTAACAATATTTTAGGTTTTACATGCTATTTGGTATGATATGGTGGGTCTTTTTGGGGTGGTTGGAAATGCTTAAGAAGTTGTCCCACATAAGTTAATGGTAACTAATTCTTTCCTTTACACTACTATTTCAGCTTACAGAAAGCTTCTACTTTCAAAGAGCCGGGGAAATTAGTGCATATCATGATTATACACTAAGTTCACATACCTATAAATAATACCAATTAAGAAAATGCAGCACAGGATAGGATAGGGTTCAGATTAGTTGTTCCTAGGGTCATGATTTGAATGATAGTGGTATTCACTGGACTTCCCTTGTATGCTTATGGATATTATCCTGTCACTCACCACATTGTATTTCAGGATAGATCTAGAAATGATTTTTTTAATTATGAAACAACCCCATTTTTTCTCACCTTTTCATCCCCAGCATGTTGTTGTTGTTGTTATGTGCCATCGAGCCGTTTCCGACTCATAGCGACCCTATGCACAACAGCTCTAAACCCTGCCCTATCCTGCGCCAACCGCACCGCCTCCGACACACCCATCCCGATTAACCCAGTCACCGAATCAATCCATCTCATAGAGGGTCTTCCCCTCCTGCGCTGTCCCTCCACCCTCCCAAGCATGATGTCCCTCTCCAAGGACCAGTCCCTCCTGGCAACATGTCCAAAGTATGTCAGACGAAGCCCCAGAATCCTTGCCTCCAAGGAGCAGCTTGGTTTAATCCTCTCCAAGATGGATCTGTTTGTTTTCCTGGCAGTCCAGGGTACATTCAGTACCCTTCTCCAGCACCACAGCCCAGCACAGTAAATCATATAATCATCTGATTCAAAATGTCCCATGCCAAGCCATCTCATTTTGCCAATATCTAGTATGTCAATATTCATGCATTCCATTTCTTTCTTAAAACAATGTCCAATTTTCCTACATTCATGCTTCTCACATTCTACATTCCAATCACTAGTGTCTCCTTACAGCTGTTTCTCTTTCTCCATGTTTCTAAGATCTCAGTTTCAATCGCCATGTCTGTTAGCCCAAATGATAATCTAAGTGTGCTCTATTGTACATAGGGTTTTCAAAGGCCTGTAATTTCAGAAGTGGATGGCCAATCCTTCTTCCTAGTCTGTCTCAATTTTTAAATATATATAATAGTATCTGACAGACAAGCATTCTACAGAAAAGAGTAGATGAAAGACATTTACCACTTAGAAAGACCAATATTCAATGTTGCTGCCCACCCGGCTACATGTTTGGTTGGTTTTGGGTTTTTTTTCTGTTGTTGTTTTTTTAAAAAAATCCACCCTTTTCCTACTTCACCACCAACCCTTCCTACTTTTGCTTGCAACATTCAACACCCATCTCCCATTGACCAGCCCCTGACGTGATGTCCTAAGTCTCAAGCAATCAGGGTTTCTCTGATTCTGACCATATCATGCTGCTGTCAGTCTCTTATGATGCGGTCAGTATGACTTCAATTTAAAGTTCTCAAGTACAACTGTCATGTACAGTTTCTTTTCCTGGAAGATCCTGAGCAAAAGGCCTCTTAAACTTCCACTCCAGGATTGACTTCTTGTGGGTTAATACCACTTGTCTTCTGTTTGCAGCCTGGTGCTGGTGCAAGTGGATGGCTTCCCAGTAGAGAGAATGTGTTCTCCAGGCCCAGGCCCAAAACTAATTCTCTGGCAAATGGCGTCCTCCAGAAGATTTTCACCAACTTTTGCAGTCAGAAATTGATCAAACATGCAATCAAGATGCAAAAGTTGGGAACAGGGAAGAAGGATCAGTAGCTGGAAAATATGGAAATATGGGCTCGGTGAGAGAAATGAGGCTGGAGATAGAATGATAGAGTTCTGCACATTCAATGATTTATTCATTGCAAATGCCTTTTATAAGAAACATAAACGCAGGCTATACACATGGATCTCACCGGATGGTATGCATAGGAATCAAATCCATTACATGTGTGGAAAGACTCGCTGGAGAAGCTCAGTATCAGCAGTGAAAACCAGACCGGGTGCTGATTGTGGGACAGACCACCAACTACTCATATGCAAATTCAAGCTGAAGTTGAGGAAAATTAAGTCAAGTCTATGGGAACGAAGATTTGACCTTAAGTTTGTCCCACTCGAATTTCAAAACCATCTCAGGAACAGGTTTGAGGCCTTGAGCACCAATGAGCGTAGACCAAATGAGCTCTGGGAGGATATCAAGAAAATCGTCCATGAAGAATGCAAAAGATCATTACAAAGGCTAAAGAAGACCAAGATGGACGTCAGATGAGACTGAGTATTGCATTAGAGCTCCAAGAAACCAAAGCTAAAGGAAGAAATCAGGAAATCAAAGAGTTGAATAGAAAATTTCAAAAGGCAGCTTGGGACGACAAAGCAAGATACTATAATGAAATGTGCAGAGAGCTGGAGTCAGAAAATCAAAAGGGCAAGACGTGCTCAGCGTTTCTTAAGCTGAAGGAGTTGAAAAACAAATTCAAGCAAAGGGCGGCAATACTTAAAGATAGTTTGGGTAGAACGTTGAATGATCCAGGATGTATAAAAAGATGATGGAAGGAGTACACAGAGCCACTGTATCAAAAGGAATTGGCTGACACAGGAATTTAATGAAATAACATATGAGCAAGAATCTATGGTGATGAAGGAGGAAGTTCAAGTTACTATGAAGGAATTGGCAAAAAA